GAAGGCAGACGCTTAACGCCTGAGCCACCCAGGCGCCCCCCTTTAGAGCATTTTGAATGACAGGGACTCTCTCCAGTAACTAGCACACAACAAGGGCCAGTGAGCCGCCCCCCCAACTCGAGGAAGCTAAGCCTAAAATTAAAGGGAGAAAAAAAACCCCAGAAAACCGGGGCGCCTGGGTGGCCCAGTTGGTTAAGCAACTGCCTTCGGCTCAGGTCATGATCCCGGAGTCCTGGGATCGAGTCCCACATGGGGCTCCCAGCTCAGCGGGGGAGCCTGCTTCTCCCTCTGACCCTCTCCCCTCTCATGCTGTTTCTCTCTCTCACTCTCTAATAAATAAATAAAATCTTAAAAAAAAAAAAAAAAAAAACCAGAAAACCAAACTGAGTAGAGAGAACAGCTACAGGTTGTCGAGGAGGCAGGATTCAAAGAAGCAGTGCAGGCAAATTACTGAATAAAACAACAGGCCTTGGGGAAAGGTCACACACATGACATTCTCCGGGATGGGTCTGTGTCAGGGCATACATCAGAATTCAGTTAGAGACACTGACAAGAAAGAAATCTGGGAAGACCCCCAATATTGGAAGCTAACACACTTCTATGTTTTTTTTTTTTTTTTGGAAGTTAACACACTTCTAAACCTATGGGTCAAAGAATAAAGAACAGGAGAAATTGTAAAATATTTTGAATGCAAAGTAAAACAGCATATCAAATGTGTTCGATGCTAACGCAGTGCTTAGAAATGTATAGCTTTAAATGCCCAGATCCAAAAAGCGGAACGGCCTCACTCAAATCAATAGCCTAATATTCCACCCTAAGAAACTAGTAAGGGCAAACCGTTATCGAAATAATGCAGGAGAATGGGAATAATGATGATGAGAGTGGAAATCACTGAAACAGACAACAGAAAAACAACCGAAAATCGATGAAACCCCAAATTCTAGGTCTTTGAGAAGATCCACAACACTAACAAACGCTTGCCAAGGAGTTGACCTTGGTAAAATAAGACTAAGAAAGTAAGAAAGTGAAGACACGAATCACCAAAATCAGGCATGAAACAAGGGACATAACCACGGACCACAGAGGAAAGGATGATAAGGAAATATGGTGAGCAACTTCGTGCCAAAGAATTAGACAAATTTAGTTGAAATGAATAAAGGACTAGAAAGACACGCATTACTGAAAGTACCTCAGCAAGAAATAGAAAGTGAAGAGACCTATAACAAGTAAATAAATGGAATTAATTTAAAAATTTTCTGACCAAAGCTCAGGCCCAGATGAGCTTAAATATTTAAAGAAGATATAATGCCAATCCTTCCCAAACTCAGAAAGCCTAGGAGGAGAGGACACTTTCAGAATCATTCTGTGAGGCCGGTGTTACCCTGACATCAAGTGAGTAAATAAAATCTTAAAAAAATGTATTTAAAAAAAAAATCACAAAGATACAAATTAGCAGATGAATATCCTTCATGAATGTAGACGCAAAATCTTGAGCAAAATGTTAGCAAGCCAAATTCAGCAATAGATAAACAAGATCCATACCGTGGTCAGGAGGGCCTTATCACAGGAATGCAAGGTATAACATTTGAAAATCAATTAATGTGATTCTATCGTATTGATAGAATAAGGGACAAAAGCCCCTTGATTATCTCAACAGACGCAGAAAAGGCATTCTAGAAAATCCAATGCCGTTCTTGAGAAAACGTTTTAACAGACTACGAGTAGAAGGGCTCTTCCTCAGCCTGATGAAGGGCATTTATAAAAATCCTACAGATAACACTTCACGCTGAAAGACTGAACACTCTTGCCCTAACGTTGGGAACAAGGCATAGATTATGCTCCATTGTATCCAACATCATACTGGAGTCGAGTTCCAGCCACATGGAAAGGGGGAAGTAGGGGCGCCTGGGTGGCTCAGTCGTTAAGCGTCTGCCTTCGGCTCAGGTCATGATCCCAGGGTCCTGGGATCGAGCCCCGCATCGG